CCCAAAACCCCAAAACCCCAAAACCCCAAAACCCCAAAACCCCAAAACCCCTCTTCCATAATTATAGCTTTATAAGTAAATATTCGATTTAGTATTTTTAGAAGATTATTAAATTAAGCCATAATAAGTTAAAACTAAGATTTCTTAGCACTTGCATTTCACCTCATAGCTTAAACTATACAGACTCAAAACAATTTTCTTACATTTTAGAAGAAAGTAGTCTAGAATCTATTGACAATAAGTCTGTGATAGTTTGGATTCTTAGCAATGATTAAACCTTTTATCTGTTTATCTCCAGTTCTGTGATATGAGAGTCTTTCTAATAGGATATTTGTTGAATGACCTCCCATTCCTTTGATAATACTTTCAGAGGCGCAGAGATCCCAATATTTTAAGCCGAATTGAGGGTAAATGTAAGAATCAACTAAACCTAGAGCTACACTGCAGCATTTGTTTCCCGCTCCTCCAATTCTAGAGACTTCTAATGGCTGGCATAAATCAAGTGATTCTTTAATTTAGTTACTGAAATGAGAAATTGAAGTTGCTACTTTTAATTTGTGATCTTCAGCTGGTTATTCATCAGATGGAAATGGTATTATAGGGGATAAAGTTCTCTATATATGCTATTCTCTTGTTTGCTTCTCGTCATAGAACATTTAGAAGCAGCCATGCTCAAGAGAGCCTATTGTTGTTTTGCCGAGCTCTGAATTCTCAAGACTAAATGGATGATGAACAATACCAATCTTGGAGATTCCATCAATTGATAGTCCGATAAGTACAGTTACTGCTGAAAGATTTCCCTTCACAAAGTCAGAGGTACCATCTAGTGGATCAATCCATACTACAGCTTTCTCAGTGTTGAATGAATTGAAAGGGAAAGAATTTGTTTCACTCCCGTAAATATCTTTAAGAGTCTCAAGATAGCTTATTCTGTTAGCATGAGTTTAGTCTAACTAATCTTGTTTGACAAAATCCAAAGGAATATCCTCAGGTTTAATTGATGCCTCGTATTTTTCATAAGTTGACTGATCTTCCTCACCCTCAATAGCTAATGTTGGATAAAGTTTGTGCAGATTTTCATTGATATTCTTTTATACTCTCAAGTCAGCTATTGTCACAGGACCATTATCATCGCTCTTCTCTTACTTGCCTAGAACTCCAGACTTCCACACATCTCTGATAATTTTCCCTGATTCTTCAGCCAAATAGATGCATACTGAGATGAATTCAGCAACTTTGATATCTTAGTGAGAAATTTGTGACTCCATGACTACGTTTAAAGTTTTGATTAATTTAATAGTTATTGCTTCAACCATAATAATAAGCAAGATTAGCAAATGCAGGGGTTTTGGGGTTTTGGGGTTTTGGGGTTTTGGGG